GACTCTCTGGATCCGCCGTGTGGACATCGAGCGCTTGCAGGTGCTCACGCTCATGGGCGCTTCGTTTGCGAAGGAACCCGGCTGTAAGAGCCAGGTGGGGTTCATGAGTATGATTGCGGACACCCGAGTGTTGAAGGAGTTAGCTGTGTGTTGTCTAGTGGAGTTCCAGAGTAGTACTATTACACGAGTTGTTGGATTTACGATGGCCGCAGAGTCTGCAGCTATGTCCGTGTCTTTGGATCGGCAGCTCTACCTCAGGCTGCTGATCGAGGCAGTCTTGCACGGGGAGCCGCCCTTGCAAGGGGACTGGAGGCTGGTGCTCAAGGTTCCGGGGGCGCTTGTGACGGATGCGAAGTCGCTGTGCGATCACACGTCCAAGATCGGCTCGATGCCGGTGTCTCGGCAGACCCTCATCGACTTGTTGGTGGCCAAGGATTTGATCGAGCAGGAGGCCATCAAGTTCAAGTGGCTGCCCAATAGCCACATGCTGGCGGACGTGCTGACGAAGGCTGTGCAGCCGAACGAGGTGCTATTGCAGTTCCTCCGCCACGGACTGTTCAGCATGGTGCCTACTGCTGAACAGGAGGATGAGGAGGCACACCGTCTGCGGCTGCGCCGCGGACAGCGTGAGAGAGCCAAGGAGCGGAAGGCCCAGCGTCGGGCCGCCGTTTCAGGGCCTGCGAGCCCGTGAGGTCCTGTTGCAGCCGCTGCATGGACCTGGTGATGGCTACGGTGATGTGCGCACGCACATCGAGACGACAGTCTGGACTAGTGAGTCTGGACACTCATATTTCATATTTTTGAGCCTCAGGCCGCACTTGTGCTTGAGGTGTTTCGGCCCGTGGGCCGGTATAGGCGGTGACCGCGTGCAGCGTTTCACGCTTGTGGGAGGCGGCATCGGGGCAGCATTGTTCTCACCCAGTGTGAAGAGGGCACTCCCCTGCCCCTCTGCCGCCCGTGCCGCCTTGTGAGCATGATGCACATACTTTTCATGTTTGTGGCGTGCACGCTGCCCGCCGCCGTTTTGGCCCTAGTCCTAGGGCCCTGGGACTGCACCCGCAGTTTGACCGCCGCGCGGTCCGAGCAAAAAGAATTGCACTGACACATCCATTCCCGATGTTAGCGGGAGCCCGCGCCCAAGGCGGTTCAAGGCCTCGAGCCATTTTCCGAGCCGTCCTATATGCTGCTCACAGCCAAACACCCGCAGTGATAACAAGCCAGCACGCCATTCAAAATCACCAGGACATCGGATTCGTGTTGCTGAGCAGTCAAGGGATGAGGCGAAAGAAGGGTATATGTCCACGCAGGGGCTGGGCCCAAACGCAGACGAGGCACCCCGCTTCGGAAACCAACGGGAACATAGACTAGGAGCATTGAGGAGCGTCCACCTTCAATAACTCGGACCACAGTGATTTGATCACTCCTACGCGCGGACCGTGCTCGCACATGTTCATGCCCAGCACGAAATCGCTTCCATTCTCCTGGACAGATCGCAGAAGCTCCGCGCGGCTTAGAGACCGACCTATCATTACACCATGACGTACTCTATACTGTTGGCGCGTGGTGGCTGTTAAGCCTTCGGGGAGGGAGGGCCGCTCTCCAGGCAGCTTTTCCGACACAGACATCACCAGCTCCGTTCGGAAGTGTTTCGGTAGTTGTGAATTGGAGTGCGCAGACAGGACCTCCCGTGAGGTGACCCTGTGTCCAACGCAGGTCGACCTTCCCCGGTCTCCTGTCCAGGATTCCCCACATACGAACCCAGAAGGTCCAGCGTATTTGTCTTCACGAGGGCCTCCCGCGAGGTCCCCCGAAACCTGTCACCGCGGGCGGAAGAAGAGGAGGACGACGAGGTGGAGGATAAACATGAGAAGCAGGACTCGAGTATCCTACCTCTACCGTGTAGAACGGACCTGCCGTGGCCGACGGGGGGATGAAGGAGGAGGAGGAGGAGGAGGAGGAGGAGAAGGGAGGAGGAGGAGGAGGAGGAGGAGGAGGAGGCGGAGGAGGAGGAGGAGTGCAAGGTTTTGATACTTCCTTGCGGATCACGTGGATACCGCACTTGGTCGGGCGCGCGCTGGTCCGCCCCAGCGTGCGCACTGTTCGGCAGTGCGTTCCCGAGCAGCATATCCGCGTGGCAAACGTGCTGATGCGGTCATTCGAAGCGTTGCTGGTTCAGATATACACGCCGGTCGTTGAAAGTAGGTATTTCTGGATTCCCAGATCCTAATCTACTTCAAGCGCCTTCCTACTTCAAGAATCGGCATGCTTTTGCTGCGTTTTGTTATTATCTGGGAGGCCCTGGACCCAATCCACTACATCCGCCTTCATACTTCATGTTTCTACGTACTTCTTCCGACCGACGTGTATGAGTTCCAGCGGCGGCACAAGCGCATGTGTTTCAGGTGCAGTGCTTCCAAAAGTGGTCCCGCGCTGAAGGATGATGTGCGAGGCGCCAGCGGCAGATGGGCAGCAGATATTGCGCGAAGCAGCAGACGCACTA